TGTACACATGCTGCACACTCTACAGATTCTTGTTTTAAACGTTTTTAACCTCTTTGGAAAGACAAAGTGAAATTGACATGAAGATGAAAGAGCAGATTCAACGATAATCTTTCCCATCAAACTGGATAAATTATTTAACAATGAAAAAAAGCAGTGCAATCAATAACACAAAGTTCTCATTATTCATGGAGGTAATGACAATATCGCTCAACATCTAAGTAACCAAAAAATGTAACGATGCTAAACCCCTCCCCCCCAAAAAAAACCTTCAGGCTAGTCAACAGTATCAATTAATGTTTTGTTAGACATGAAAGTAGTAAAAAATAGCCAGCATCTTGAAAAATCGACTGGGTATCAGCATGGAGATACAGAGTGTTCCTCCATATCACCAAATATTTCTGAGCAGGTGAGGAAGCAAGGTCTAATATTTTTATTTATACAAGATTTAAAAAAAAAAATATCACACTCTTAATGAAATCTTGCTCTCATTCTAGTTTAGCCTAATGGCATAATCTACAGGCATTGATTAATGCTATGCATCAGTATTAAAAAAGTTCCTGATTTTACAATAGTAAGTAAAATCATGCACATTAAAACACAGGTAACACAACCGTTTTTTCAGAGAATTTACATACCATAAGCATTTTGAATCTTCTGTCTCCTCAATGCATAATCTGCTTTGAGTTAAGCAATGATCAACAAGAATTTTTAATGCGTCACATGTAACTACTACCGATACTGCCATCTAAAGCTATTTAACTGCTGCTTATGTCATATTATCAAACACAAAATAAAGTTACATACTTCCTTCACTGGTATGCTTACTTATGTATTAAAATTATTTTGTAATCATGATATACATTTAAATGGTATTAGACACTATAAGTATAAATGTAGTAGTAAAATGTAGCACTTACAGATAAAAAAAATAGCTAGTAGTATACTTTATCAGCATAATGATCATACATTATATTTACTTCAAACATGATTTTAAAGTTCAGATTATATATGAAATTTGAGAAGTATGTTACAATTATGTGCTACAAGAAATACTTTTTAAACTTGTAACTTCTAGTCGGAATTTTATGAAATTTGAGAAGTATGTTACAATTATGTGCTACAAGAAATACTTTTTAAACTTGCAACTTCTACACGCAATTTTTTTATTGTCTTTAGCATGAAATGAAAAGTTAAAAGTTTTATATAAAAAATATTAGAGAATCAATAAGTGAATTTTTAATGGCTTTATTTAAACTCATTTTTACCTAATTCAGAGAAACCTCACAACTTTTAATAGCTAGAGTATGATGAAGTTATGTTAAAAAATGAAGAATGGAATGTATTTTTATTTTAAATAAACGACAGAAATTTACAATATAGGGAGAACCCAAGAGCTTTTGGAATCCATATCACCAATCAAAATTTTTATAACTGAGATTAGCAACCTAATTTTGGCAAACAGAAGCGACCAATATCAAAGAACAGAAAATGGCAAGTGATATGGAAAACTCCATCTCCTTTTACAAGAAGTGCAATTAAAATGGTTATAATAGTCATATAAACTTTTATTGCTAGAAGTGCGGATATTTTAAAATTAACGAGTAGTCTAACTGCTCTAAAAGAAGCAAATGCTAGTTGTACATTTCTGCTGTTTTTACATTAGTGAGAACCGAGTTTCCATGAATACAGCTAACAAGTATTTGGTGAAAAGATAATATTCACCAGTCTTTGTGGACAATTTTTGATCACTGCTCTTGTAGATCACACTAGATTACAGACTTAATTTTGTTTTACAATTGATTCTTGCAGTATGACAATGCTCACTGATACAGCTTCAAATGTGCAGCAGATTTTGTTTGAAAACAAATGTGTGACTATGATATACCCTGCCTATGTACCTTTTTTCATTCAATCAGATTTTTTTTTTCCCTAGTGGGTAAAGTGGAAACAAAGAGGGCTTCTGATATTGTAAAAATTCAGAACAAATTGCTGATAACCCAATAATATTCTAATAATATTCAAAAAATACTGCAAGCAGCATGAAAAATGCCAAGACATATAAAGTCATATGGGAATATTTTGAAGAGAATTTAAGTTTCAGATTTGTAAATATATTCTTTTAAACAATACAGCAAACTTCTGTATTCTTCTTTCTTGCAGAAAAGACTACAGAAAGAAGATTTAAGATGTTTTGATGGAAGAAATTTTACTTCAAACAGAAAACTTTCATAATTCTACTGTTTACCTTAAGGGCAGTTCACACCAACGTGATCACCCGCTCAGGCAGAAAGTGGCAACCAATCAGAAGATAGCTCAGAGGTGGTATTTTCTGGACGGACGGAGAACACGCGAGTAGACTCAACCTTATCTTTTCGCCGCCTGCCACACCAGTTTTAGATATCTCGTTTCAAATGTCCAATTTACACCACAGACTTTTTAAATTTTTAAATGAGTATATCTTCAAAGATTCGTCTTGAGGAAAATGTAAACTCAAGATGACTAATCTTAATGAAAATTTGAGATGCTAATTAAAAATGAATAAGTTAATAGAATATCTTAAAAGAAAAATTCTCAAATTTAGTAGGAGTAATACACTTTAATTATCAACCATAATACCACTACCACTTTAATTACCAACCATTTAATTATGGTTGGTAATTTTTATACAGTAACTTAAAGCAATAGACTGTTACAAGAAAATAGTGATGGATTTTGAAATTCCAGATTTTGAGTTTTACTTCAAATTTACATCAATTTAAAATTGCTCTTGTAGTCTAATGGATAAAACACTGGTTTTCAGAGTCAAAGACTGTGAATTCAAGTGTCACCAGGGATGTTGTAATGGAGTTGGGATTTAAAAAAAAAATGCTCATTCAGTTTTTTTAACATTAAGTCTGAAAACCAACTCTTCTCGCAAGACACCTTAGCGCACCGAGTAGAAAATTCAGATGATACCAGATACTTGTATCGAGGGTTCAGGCCTTGCTTTTCTCGCCTTTGATGATGGTGAGAATACATGAAATTTTGTTTATCTATTGTGATATCTTTTTATGCAAAGAAGTTTGCATTAATTTTTAATTGACTATAAACATAATTTTCACCCTCCAGGTGGCATTATAAGCATTATTCTTTTAACAGAGGGCCTTTGACACAATCTATAAGACGATCTGACTGTTCTGATCTGATTCCGTATCGAATGATGCCAGACTAGCAAAAGTGATACTGGTTAAAACTGCTGTTTTACCTAATTAAAAAAATAGTGAATTTTTTAATTCTAAACGAGTGGTGCTGAGTAAACCATTTCTTAAAAGAACTTAGCCAGAGGTTTAATCTTGAAAATAAATTTTCATTAACTTAGAAGACTTACATGAATATCGGCAAATTTACTAACTCTGGAATGAAATTTTTGAAACAGAAAAAGAAATATTATATAAAATGCAGTTACTTCAATAAGCTTTAGACAAAAGTGACTCTATAAAATAAAACTTTAGACAGTAGCTGTTCATTAATATATGAATAAGTAATTCAAGTAACTGCAGTTACATTTAAGGTAAAAAATATGTACATAAGGCAGAAACTATGTTTTAAAACACTTTTTTTAAAAAATTTCTATTGTTTATTAATTTTTTTAAATAACTGCTTTTTTTCAAGTGTGATATTTAGCTTAATAATCCTATAAATCCTACATACATTTAAATAAAACAAAACTTTTTTATTACATTAATTAAAGCAATTATATTAAGGGACGTTCATACATCATGCAAAAAATTTTATGGTGAACTCCATGAAACATTCACTATCTAAAATCGAAAAATCCAATTAGGAATTTTTTAAAAAGTCAATAAAATTCATAAAGTAAATTAGATACATACAATGATCCTTTTCTGGGATATCATATTCTTATCTTCCAAAGAATTCTTTTCTGTGACATTCTGAGAAAAGTTTTCTGCTTTTGGATAAATGATTCAATGAAAGCTAGAAATTCATCAAATTTATGCGATGCATATGAAAGTTAAAAAAAATTTCACTGTCTTTAAAGCACATTTCTTCAATTAAATTATTTGCATCTCCTTGCTGCTGTCATCTCTCATATAATATAAACCACTGCTTTCTTCTTCTCTTACATTCATCTAATTGAAATGGAATTCACTTTAATTAAAAAAATATAACGGTAAAAAGCCAAAATACCACGCAAAAATTAGTTTTTTCTGATATGAAGAACCATCTAGCGTGTGCATGTGACAACTTTAAAAGTGAAAGTTTCTGCCCTCGTATGAACTGACGTATGCGGAAAGAGTTTTTTCCCCTCCAACGGACCAGTGCGAACACAGCTTTACTGTTTGCCTGTGTGATTACAAATCTTTTTTAATGGCTATGAGCACAAAATCAAGAATTTTCTCACCCACCAGCGGCCGAGTGGTAAAAGTCGCCGAACACTGGTAGTTTGGTCCGAGGTTCGAATCCCGCAAACGGGCTGGCTGCATGGACATTTTCGTGGTTTTCCCTATGTGTAATGTGTATATGAACCAGTTTCCCTTAGAAAGTCCTCCACGAAGGCATCCCTCCCCTTAGGCAGATAGCCCTCGAGGCTTTGCCATAAGCACACACACAGAAGAATTTTCTCATATCTTCACTGTAGTGACAGTGCTCTTCTTCATAATCTGTTAAAAAATAATTTACTGCTGCATAAAATTACAACTGTGATGCTACCAGAAATTTTCACCACATCTTGCAGCATTAAATGCTATTATAATGCACTATGTAACATACAAAAATATTTTGCTTTAAAACTCAGACAACAATTAGACAGTGGTATATCAGGATGAAGAATAAGATCTCAATAAAAAGAAGTATTATTAAAATGGAAAATTTATTACAGTATATGATACTTATGATCATAGCAAAACATACTGACAATTTCTTTTACTAATAAATAAGAAAAATTAGCTTATAAGATTTCAGCACTTTATAGTGTAGAATAAATTTAGGTACATAATCACCTTAAGCTTGTCTTCAACTTTCTGGCTGGCAGATTGACCTTGATGATTATCTTCAATTCGCTTCCGCATCTGCTCCAATTCCTTAGATAAAAGATTTTTAAAGACATTTTATTAGAGAATTACTATTATGCAAGGAAAAGGAAATGAAGTTTAAGAATGTGCATAAGAATTTTTATAATAGTTACTAAATATTCAAAAAGGAACCTGACATGCATTAGAAATTCCTCCAACTTTAAAATTGCATATGTAATTTACCAGTAAAATTTAATTCATGATCTAGCATTTTTTAAAAAGACTAATTCTCACTCCAAATACTAACTCATCAGAATTTATTATACAATAATTATTACCTATTATTTTTTTAAAAAGACTAATTTATCAAAACCTATTATCCAGTCTACTATCTAATCAGATGTATAACCTAAAAGGGTTTTAGATTTGAAAAATTTTTGAACTAGCAACAGAATACTTTTTTAGAAAGATCTTATTTACCTAATACATTCCTCAATCCATATACGGGAGAAAAAGTTTTAAAAACTATACTTTTCTGTAAATGTTTACAACTAAGACACAGATAATATATATAATCATGAAAGCAAAATGCTGAATTTAATTGCAGAGCATTTACCTGAAAAGATATTTTAAAACATAAAAATATGTAAATTATGTAACACACAGTTGCCATAATTATAAAAGTATGAATAGAAATTTAAGTAAAATATTACTAGAAATAAACAGTGAGTTAATTTTATGCATAATTTCACTTTAAAATCAATGTAATTGCATATGCTACTTGAGGATGTCAGTTCTTTAAGCAAAAGTTATCAGTTAAAATTTGACTTAAGAACAATGCAATACAATTCAGTAATTCCCACCTAAATTACTATTTTGGTGGTTTTGCTGAATATCATTCATAATGTTTAATTAATTACAGGGTTCGTACACACTTCTGCACACGGAAATTACTTTAAGGACCATTAATGAAAAAAATTAAGGACCTATGAGCAAATGGGAACTGAATAAATTCAATTGAAGATATTATCTATGCCTGAATTTCCCTTTTGTAACACCATCCTAAAAATAAAATAGATCCCTAAGTAGTATGCATTATTACTAAACATGAATTAATTAACATAATTGTTAACAAGTTTGAGAATAAAATAAACTATGCAATTTATCAAGTAGCATTAAATATTTTACACTTATGATAGTTGGTCATATTTGAACGTTTATATCGATTTCCTTCTCTTTTAAGCATCTTTTCTAACAATTAGAGATTTGTCTCAATATGCAAACTAATGCTCTCACTAGTTTCTGCGTGCTTCATCTCCTAACTTCTCAACCTCTCCATAATGTACCTATGAGGGTTTAATTGATCTGGTAAAAGTTAAATAGTCCAAAACCTCTGATAGACGTGAAGCATATTATTGCTATGTCTGAAATTAACTACAATATCAGACAAAGGTTTAAATACGCCTCTTATTTAAAGAACTCGGAACATAAAGGCATGTTCTGATGCTAACAAAATCAATTACAGCTCACGTTGACATAATTAAACAAGAACAGTCAAATTCAAACTAATAATGTGGACTAGTGGTCAAAGATTATACAATTTAATTGCAATTTAATCTGGCTCAATAACCCTATCATACGAGGAAATAGAAATGGAAAATTATAGTAAAGGTTGAAATCATAAACAATTGGGTAATTTACATAATAATAGCTGCACATATCTTTGAAGAATAATTTCCTTTATATAATAAGTTTCTTTCTTCAATATGTTTCCTTTTCATTTTAGAATTTTTGGATTTAATTAAGGATTTCCGTTATTCTAAAAAACACTAAATGCATTTAGAATGTACAGAAAAAGTGGCTAATTTTATTTCTTTAGTAATATGAATATTCACAAGCAATATGAAACATATAGTATAGTAAAGGACGGTTACATAGCTGATGTGGCAGAATTTCTAGAATTTAGTAACACACCGAACAACAAAATCTAGAAATGGCAAAACTTTTAGAATTTAGAGCAAGCATTGGAAGCAGAATTTAGAAAGGCAGTAAGTAGGCAGCAGAACTTAGGATCCACAGAGATTGCATCAAGTGGGAAAATGCCTAGTGCCAGCTATGTGTATGATGCATTAAGAAATATTAGATGAATCTTTTAAATTGTAAGTTTCCAATTTCTTTATTAATAAAAAAACCCTTTCTATAATGCCTATCCATGTGATAAGATCAGAAGCATTTTTGATATTTTCTATGCTTCTGTCTAGTGAAAAGTAGAGAAGATAAACATGTTAAGATTCTAGTATCAGAAGTAATACATTCAAATATTATGTTTTCATTGTTCTTCCAGATGTTCTTCCAAAATTAAGAAATTCATTGTAAACTTTCTGTAAAATCCATCCACTACGTTTTGATACCTTGGAGACATTTTTCTTTTTGTCACATATTTCTCGAATCTTCTAGAATCGTGGGTCTATAAATCTTGCCTTCTAATCCTTCTAAACTTTCCAAGCTGCAATGTTTAAAATCCTAAAGAAAAATTATTCCTACCATTTCTGTAACAGAAAAAAGACAGAAATATTTTGGAAAAAAGTAGGAGGGAAACGTATAAAATAAATTTTATAGAGAAAACTGATGCACATTCTGAGAATTTTGAATATTCTGAGACAATTACATGGGAAAAACTCTTACTATGAAAAAATTAAAAACAAGACATTTTTAATTAATTACACAGCTAATTTTGCTTTTGCTAAGAGCTGTTTCGTAAATTGTGCTTTATAGAATTATACCTTGTTTATTTTTCAGATTTAAAATATTGTATAAGTTGCCAAAATGAAACTTTATAATATGACAGCAAAAAAATAAAAATGTTTTATTTTAATGTTATTTTTTAAATAAAATTTCAATATATTACCATTATTTTAATAAAATTTATCAATGTTACGATGTTTTAAAAAAAATCGTCGAAACATTTTCAGATTTTGGAATTAAAAAGTTTCTATAGAGACTAATCTTAAAATCGCCAAAATGTTGAAAAGTCGCCAAATTTAGAACCGTTTAATAAAAGAATTCACATCCCCAAAAGCAAAAAGTTGTTTAAGAGCTCTTTACTAGAAAAAATGAATTTCGAAATGCTTATGTTTCACTTTTTGCTTAGAAACTCGAGTATCCCATCATTTATATTAGAAATAGAAACAAATTATAACTCATGAACCCATTCAAAAGATTACCATATATACGGCAGTGAATCGCCAAAAATATTCCTCAAAATGCTAATTCACACTCAAAATGACAGTCGTAAAAACAGATAAAAATTTCTGATGATTAAAATTAAAGGACCTTCGGCTGATTTTAGCCAAAATTAAGGACTTTTAAGGACCAAAAATCGATTCCCTAAAATCTAAGGACTTTTAAGGACTGTACGAACCCTGAATTATCACTATTAAAAAATGCTTGAAAATAATATCTCGTAGGATAATCCAAAAACTGCAGACCAAACTAGTCAGCAAATATATATCAGTCAAAAGTCGTTAATTCGGACACCCATAATTCGGAATGATCTATAATCCGGACATCAAAACTAAAAACTTTCTGCGCATGCACCGCGTTGACACATGCGCAGAGGCGTTCACGCGTGCGCGTAAGAACTTTTACGACTGCGCATATGAGTGTGCGCAAGTGCAGAATACGTTTTCGCGTGCGCATTTTATGTATAATGGACGTATAAGCTAAATAATTATCTATTTCAGTTAATGTTGATGATTGCGTTGTTCCTTAATTTTCGAATTGCATCCGGCTTATTATTTTTTGCAGACTGTAAGAGCAATTTTATAAAAGTAAGCTTAAACTTTCGATTATATCAAATAGAATTTCCGATATATATTTGTTAATATGTAAAGGATCTAAAGCGAAAGTATGTTTTGAAATCCGAAATCTGTTTATCATTTTCACGCTGCTCGGCGGCGGGCGCGTAATGAATTGGAAGTTGATTTGTCAGCACTATCCTTATCTTCAGCGCAGATGTTTTTTATTTATTTGGCTTATAATTCCTTACCAAATGTAGTATTTTTCAATCTCGATATGCTCCGTCTTTGATATGATTTAAACAAGTTCCTCGTCATTATAATTCGCTTCCGATAGCGAAGAAAAAGTGACAGAGGTTATTGAAAACAAAAAAATTTCGATTGACAAATTAGTCGGTGTTCTTGACCACAGCAATTATAGGACTTGAACGGCGGAACTTTGTAACTGAACAAGAAATTATGTCTGTTTAATAGAATTAAAGAGAAAATATTATCACATGAAGCGAAGCAAAACTTAAACAACTTACATTGAAAGAAATGTTTAATAAAGTAAACAAATAAATATTAAGCTTTTTCTTTTTGCAAATTTTGATACCCTTTAGATCATAATTGTTCTTTATTTCATAAATTACGGTTTCATATTTTTAATTTTGGAATTTCTGCATGCCATCTTACGAGATTTAAACTGATGATCTATAATCCGGAAAAATCGATAATCCGGAATCGCCGAAGTCCCGACGAGTCTGGATTAACGACTTTTGACTGTACTATATATATACATACATCCATATACACAGATTTTATTATATACTGGTTTAAATGCTCATGTGCTTATATTGCTATCACATAGCCCAAATTTGAAATACATGAAAATTTGCAGGGAATAATGGCAGTACACTGGCGAAAAGCAAGTACAACTTGGTAAAGGCCAAAAAAATACACTACTTTAGATTGTTAACAAAAATTTGACCCTGTATTTTTACAAAATATTAAGGATTCCATGCTTAACTGAGAGAAAGGTCTCATCTGAATGTACAATTTCTACAGCTTTGCATTTCAGATAAAAGTACTCGAATCAAATACCATCTAAATAAATGAATTAAGACAAATTTTCTAAAATACAGTCAAAAGTCTTTAATCCGGACTCGTCGGGACTTCGGCGATTCCGAATTATAGATCATCAGTTTAAATCTGGTAAGATGGCATGCAGAAATTCTAAAATTAAAAATATGAAACCGTAATTTATGAAATAAAAAGAGCAATTATGATCTA